AGTCAGAGCAATTCCACTTCAATCCCTCTCTTTTCTTTTTTCAAAGAAAAGCAGATATGGGACTCTCAGTTCAAAGGAGATTGTTGTGAGGGAAGGAGCTTAATCTTTCTATTTTCTTCAAAAAAACCACCTTCATTATTGAAACACCCATCCTCCCTGTTGGAAGACAAAGAAACTCCTGCATAGGCAAAGCAGAGGGTTGGGCTGGATGACCTTCAAGTAGCTTTTGATTACTCTGTGAAAACATTTAATGAAGTCTGGCAGCCAACAGGATTTTTTAACAGCTGTTCTTTGTTTCTTACAATCTGCCCTCTTCCCTGCCTCAAAAAAAATCAATTCTTGCAGTTGAAAAGTTTCAGCAATAGTAGGGTATCTCTGTACATGAAGAAGTAGGGTAGAACGCATGTAAAGGATTTCAAAAATTTTAGTAAAGGGTTCGCTGCCCGGTTGCTGAGTGGGCATGGTCATAGTGGGCATGGCCTAGTTGGCCTCCTGCGGTACAGTGAGGGGGGGGGCATTTTTGTCCTCCCCAGGCTCTGGAGGCTTTCCTTGAGCCTCCAGGAGAGCGAAAACAGCCTCCCCAGGCTCCGGAGGCTCTCTGGAAGCCAGAAACGGGCCCATTTTCAGCCTTCTCGTACTTCCAGGAGGCCCGTTTTTTGCTCTCCCCAAGCCTTTGTGCAAGTGGCCACAGGGGGACTCCTGGGAGGGGAGGGGCAGGGTGCATGGGGCCAGCCAGGAATGGGATTTGGAAGTTCTCTGAACTGCGCAGAATCTTAGCTAGGGGCTCTCCCGAACCCCTGCGAACCACCAGCAGCTCACCCTTGATGTGAAGTAGTATTTTGCTTTTTCTTGCCTGGAAGAAAGCAGTGCTGTACAGGTTACAAAACACCAGTTGAGCATTATTTTTCTTCAAAATGGTTGCATCTTTCTGTTTTGTAAATCAGCCAAAGCCTATTATTCTATTTCTATATTACAGTGCAGAGTGAATCTGTGAAGACAAGGGTCATTAAACCAGTTTGGTGATCTGTGGCTTTTTCCATGGTTGAAAATATTTATGTGTTATGTCATAACAATCTTATTTGTGTGTACACAATTTTAGCCTTGGATTCACCTCTCTCATAAACCTGAAGTAGTTTTTTCCAACAGCAACTGCTCTGTGCAAAGGAAGATTAAAAAGGAGAAATAAAATGTGCTGGCTTAGAGCTGTAAAAATCAAGTTTATAGAATGTAATACATACACACAGTAAATCTCTATCTTTTCCATTATTATTTTTAAGAGATGTTGCTTATTTATTGGGTAAAATGCAAGAAGCCAATGGCTCCTATAAGAATGATTATTTATGATTATATTTTTACACCTACTTCCCCTATATTATTTTAATCTTAGTCTAGATACATCAAAAGATTAATTTCTATTTGTTTTTAGAAATCACCCTTTTCCTCTTGTAATTGCAAACATTTTGAAATTTCTCCCAGGACAATACATTTCTAAATCTTGGCAGAATGTGGGCTTGCAGATGTTTCATAATTTTGGTATTTAGTTTTTAGTTGTCAACAAGGCAAGATAGTACTTTAGTTTAAAAATAACATTAGCAAACAGTTTTGTTTCTGTAGACTTATAATCTGAGTTATAAATATAGCAGGACCTTTCCCGAAAGTTTTCAATAAGTTATGTTTTTAATTAAATACAAAGAAGTTTTAATATAAACCATACGCATTAACTAAACATGTTTATTGTATATAATAAATTGAACCAAGAAAACATTACTTTATAATGTTTCATTTTAAGCTGAAGTCCAGGACTTCTCCAAATGTTACTAAACTACAATTCATAAAACCCTAGCCAACAATGAAAAATGTTAGAAATTGAAATTCAATTAATAATTTAGGGTTATTGGCTTCCCTATTTCTGCTTCAATCAGTATTTCCATGTAAATAGTACTACTCATTAAACATTCAATACTGTAAACACTTTATAAAAAAACAAAAAAAAAAACCTGTAAGAGCAAAAATCATACAATGAAATTAGATAATTACATTAATATTATATGGTGACAAAACACTATACTATTTTTAAAACCCTGCTAGTATCTAAAAAAAAAAACTGCTGCATAGAGGTTTTACAGTCATTGTACTTTGCTATCAGAGATCCTTTTTCAACCACCTGCCAAGCTAATCTATTAAATTGATAGAATTTATGAAATTTATGATGACAGTCATAAATAATAGGCAGGTCGATATAGAACAAAGTGATCCTTTTAGATATCTTAGCCTCACATTGGATGTCTGCCAAAGAACAAACTGGTGAAGTTGATCTACAAAATGCATTTGAGGTTAAATATTATTCCAACAAAGGAATAAATAGGAATCTAATGCAACAATGAAATGACCTTTTTGGCCTTACATATCCATAAATAATACATAATTTATAGTAATTTACTTATACTACGTGCTTAAGATTTTTATATTCAGTAATGTAAAAATTTTCAATGTGTCACAGTTCCTGAATTTTAGCAAACCTATATTTTTGTAGATAAACATAGATAAATATCTATATTATCTTTTGAGTTTTACTATACTACCTAAGATTCTTGATTCGTATTTTTTCTTTTCTGTATACTGAGAGTATTTGCACCAAGACAAATTCCTTATGTGTCCAACCACACTTGGCCAATAAAGAATTCTATTCTACTCTATTTTATTGTGCACCTTGTCTTAATTTGTAAACTAAGCAGGGTTGGGCCTCATTAGCATTTGTGTGGGAGGCTAGAAGATAGCAGTAGCAAAACATTGTATTGCTGAAAAGAAAAACCACCTGTATGTGTCCAAAATTCCACTAGGAATCAGATTGACTTCAGGGAAATTTTACTGTTGATCAGTATAGATATCTCTGCCACTTCTTCAGTGATTTGGGTTATTTCCCCCCCTAATTTAAAGGGAACCAGATATACTTCAGACAGTATTTTTTTTTCAGATTGTACCAAAATTTTGAAATTGTGAAAAACCTATAAAAATAATCAGAAGCGATTTCTATGAAGAAATTTTTGCATTCATTTTCAATCAGAAAATATAAACATGAAAGTAGAAAGAAGAGAAAAATCTTTGATAGCATTCATTATAAATAAAGACTTTTCTTATTGGTGTCATAACATTGAGATAAATATCTTAAACCTATCATTTGTGATCCTTTTCCAGGTTTCATCTGTTTGTGTGTGTGCTCGCACGCACCTTTGAATCAATTCTAGTTCTTGCAGTTTCAACTTTGCCAAATTAAAAATAGATACAAAGCTGTATTTATGTTTTAATATTGGTGTTTCAGATTGGCACAGCCTTAAAATAACATGTCGGTGGATAATGTGTGTTGAACTCCATGTTCCTGAACTAATGTCCAGCATCTTTTACCAATGATTATGCTGGCCATGGTTATTCGGTAACATCTGGAAGACTGTAATTTTTATAGACTAAGAGGAAATAAAGTCCACCGGGTATTCTAATGCTGCTATGAATTTAAGATTTTAAAATTATTTTTTGCACCTGTTTGTGGATGTACAATTACCGAGAGTAGATTTTATTGTACATTATTTAAAACTAGGAGATAAGATGCAACTGTTGGGAGTCTCAGTGAAGAAACAAGTAAAATGAGTTTTGACCTATTAACTAAATCTCTGATATATTTACTAAAGCATCTAAACAGAACCCTCCAAGAAGTGCTAGTAAAACTCTAGAAATTTGTTATGAATTCAGAACACTGAAATCTAATTTATCTTCCTCATGCTGTTATATTTTCTGACTTGAAGGTCTCTGCTAGTATCAGTTAGATTCTAGAAAGGTTTTCATGTTTTTCTTGATGTCCTCTATTTGCATTTCTGAATTGCTGCTTCTGCGAGCAGAATGTTTTATGATCCTCACCTTGTTGCAATGCAGTGGTTTCACTCCTTTTGGTGTGAGTCACTAAAGGTTTTTTTTTCCTCCCCACCAAAGGAGGCAAGCTCTATGCCAGCCCATTATCCATGTACAATATATGGGGGGAAAGTAGCTGATTTCAGATGGTAATTTCAGATTTTATGACTCAATAATAAGTCTGTTAAAGTAATGAGAAACAAGCAAAACTTGCACTCTCTTGGACCTTTGTCCCCCTTGTCCCCCAACCGTTTAAGACAAAAATCCAAAATGAAGTTCGTAATGTTTGGTTGGAAGCTACCATAAGTAGCTTATTGTGTGATACAGCAGCTGTATTGTGCATCCTACACTCTAGGATGATAGGGAAGATATTTTGAATTTAAAATATCACCCTTTCAAGTATTTGACACTAGTATATCTTACCTGTCTTCTCAAGACAAGAAAAGTCACCCCTTTTATTGGATGTTTCTTATACTTAAGTAATCCTGTGCCTTTATTAAACTTTATATTGCTAGATGCCCTTTAAAAGCCTTAGACATAATCTGCTTTACTTGTATGGTTCCCTATTTTAAACAGACACCACTACTTAATAGGCTTGCTCTTTTATTTGTGCTGTTGGTATGAATTTTATTGAACAAAATGATTTCCTAGAATATGGTTATGTCCGATGCTTCTCATAATGAACCTCTTTCCACCCTCCAGGTATATATATGCCTGTTATATAAATATTGTGCTTATGGAACAAATGTTCCCCAAAAGAACAATGACTATGAATTTACATAATATAAGCAGTTAATTTTAACATTGCTTTGTGTGAACGATTGCAAATCCGACCTATTTGTTTAATAGCTCTTTGTATTGTGCAAACCCTAAAAATGGGCTGGTAATCAAATAAATGCTATTTATTTAGTCATTGGGTATTGGGTATTAATACATTTGACTGCAATATCCCCTAGAAAAATTACTGTCTTGGATTAATTTATTCCATTTACTCCCAGCTGAATTATTAAAGCTATTGTCAAAATCATTTTCCTGGTCAGAATTGACAACTATTAAGATAAACTGGAAATCAATAATGTCAATTTTTCATTATTTTGCAGTTTGAAAACTATCTTGGTGGGGAATCCTCTGGACAACACAGTGGACTTGTCTGGCATCCCTTTGACCATGAAGGAATTAGACCGGGTTATCTCATACATCCAGCACAGCTCTGAGTATATTGAAAATGTGGAGCTTTGCTTCACTGAGCTGACAGATGACCTGTTCCTCCAGCTTTTGCCAGTTCTCGGTGCCCTACCTCGTCTTGCAACTCTTTCCCTTAATGGCAACAGGCTTACAAAAGCCATCCTCCGGGACCTGACTGAAGCTTTGAAGGACACCAGAAACTTCCCCAGCATGACTTGGATTGATCTGGGCAATAATGTGGACATATTCTCTCTGCCACAACCGTTTCTGGTTAGCCTTAAGAAACGAAGCCCTACCCAAAGCAATCTCCCAACTATTCTTGAATTTGGTGAAAGTCAGGTGAGTGACCTTGAGAGCCAAGAAGGTCTTTCATCACAGGATGAGGACCAAAATGATGGTGGCCTGGAAGACATTAAGACCAGGCAGGTATGGACAGGTGAAGCTGTTGAGGTTAAGCTGCTGCCAAATGAACCTACAAATCAAGAACAGATTTCTACCTGTTTGTTTCAGACATGAAATAAGTGTCTCTCATTTGCCTAGGTTGTGCCAAATGGATCCTTTATAACCACAAAGGATCTTGGCTAGTTTATGCTAATGAAGCTATCTTCTAATAAAAACTTTTTAATTCCTTAACTTGCAGGACCAAAAAAGGAAGGCCAAATTACAAAGTTGGCCGCAATTCACATATTAATGATCTGCTACAATTTGAACCATTATATAGAATTATACTGGAAAGGATTTACGCCAATTCCAGCTTCTTGCTCAGTGCAGTATCCAAATCAAAGCATCTCTTTAATTCCTGAAACCTTATAGTTATTACAGGGATGATTGCTAGTTGACTGTTGAAGGTATAAAAAACACACAAAAATGCAATGCCACTATTGAGCCTATTTTTTTTCCAGGCAGGTTAAACACTTTAAATACACTAATTAGAATTTTCATATTAGGTATACCAGTACAAATAATTCTGTACTCAAGTTTTTACTTTCCAAATGAATTACTTTGAATAGAAGCTTTAGGTGGGAAAAGTCCACGCTCGGATAGAAACAAAATTAATCCCATGGATTAAACAGAAACATGTTAATCAACTCACCAAGTTTGAATGTCTCACTGTATAATCACTGCCAAGAAGGTAACCATCATTACTGTACCTTCTGCATTTCATTCTCTCCCAACCAATTTGTCTCCTGTTCTGAATAAGCCATGGATGTGTACCTATCTCAGGTTATGCCATGAATCTGATGAATTTGGCTGTAATCCATGAGTTTTATTTGCAAGGTCTTAAGGTGCTACAGGATTGCTGGTCTTCAGATGTAATTTTTATACATCAAAAGCAGTGAGTCAGCAGGGCTGAAAAACTTGCACCTTCTGAACTCAAGCCCCCAGAATGAAATAATTTGAATACAAGACAGATACTATTCATTGACAGATGACAGATTACATTGGTTCATAAAGCAAACAAATCAGTATAAATGAAAAAGTCCCCATTCCCTTGCTTTAAGAGTGTGAATTGATAAGAGTGTAAATTGATAAAGGGTTAGCAAGGCCTTGGCTTTAGGCACCAGGGGATGAAATTTGTTGCAAGTTGCTATAATTACACTTTGTGGAAAAAGTGTAGCTGCTTTCAGTTACTCTGGATTTCATCACTGTGCCGCAGAAGAGACAATAGAATCAATTCAGCTTAATAGTGTCAATTTTTCCTGATGTTCTTAGGTACCTGGATTACATATTTAGGGGAGCTTTAGTCACCAACCCTTTGCAGCACTTGACTGTCATGAAGTAAATGCTGGCTTTATTCTTTTGAGCTACCCATGAAGAATCTTGCCCAAATTAACTATCACGCCAATCTCTTGTGTGAGCTTTCGACACTATGGTTTTGGTAAATCAAAAGCACTTCATCCTGGCAGGTTTGAAGAGCAGCTGAACCTTTCAGACTGGGCTCAGATTGTAATTGCTAGGATTAATCTACTTTAGGGAGGAGGTGCAGCTCATCATGACCAATTTTCAGAATGTGTTTTTTCCCTTAAAACCTCACTGCTGTTGTGCCCATTTTGAGTATTTGTATGTTTTCGGTAGTGTTAATCTGGTACTTCATAGAAATCAGCATCTCCATATTGTCCCTAGTTTGCATGTAGCCAAAGTCTTTTATATGCTTTGTCAGAAATAAAACTTGTTTGAAAGATGGCTGTTTCTCCTTGGTGTATTTGCAGGAATGGGAGGCTAAATCTTGTGCAACTGCTGAGCAGGGTTGGGCAGTCATTACACTGAATTATGCAAGGAAGGTAGATTTTGAGCATCATCATTCCTGGAGTATCAAGTTATGCTGTCACTTCAACCCCATTAATCCAGAACACAATATGGAGGCTTGGTTAAAGTTTTCTTGGGTTTTTTTAATGTCAAATGAACAGCCTGAATATAAACATAGGGAAGCTTTCTTAAAAGGGGGGAGATAAAATAAAAGTATTATTTTACTTTTTATATCCCTTAACTGCAATGATCAGGAAACTAGAAACTCACATGAGAGATGTAAAGCAACTCAAAATCTGCAACTGGAACTAATTCCTTCCACGGAGTTGGTCTTAATAGTGCAAAAGACTTTTGCCCCCACCTACAGGAAACTAGTAGCCCAGCTCACAATTCCAGGAAAAAAATTAAGACAATAAGCATTATTCAGTGCATCTGTTTATGAAGCATAATTACACTCTCAAGACAGGCAATTGCTTAAGTGCATTTGCTTATACAAAATTAACATTTTGTGCGTGTCTTAATAAAAACCCACTTGTGCCAGGTGGCAATATCCAAGTTTCCTCATGCCTCCCTATCTATCTCTGGGTATAAACAATCATAAAAGGAATATTTAGGAAACAAAATATTTCAGAGAACCTCCAACTCAAGTCACAGTAACATTGATAAACAATGGCAGAAGAGATGCCATAATCTGCATGGATTTCCATTAGGTTAAAAAATTGACAGAAGCAGAACAATACTGGTGTCATGAAACTGTAAATTTGCAATTTCTTTAGCTCATTTTTTTTAAGGCTTAGCTGCAGTGTAGTCTTATTTCACAATTTAAATGGTGTTATTTTTTCATATAACTTCAACAGGCATTTTAAAGGACAGATTACCCACAGGATTAAGTAAAAAAAAACTTAAAGCCTGCAGAAAAGTAACAGAAACTGTTAACAGATGGAACATATCAGTAGTACCACTCATTTTCCATATAGCCACACAGAACCTTTGGCAAGGCCAGTATTTCATAGGTTTGGAGTGTATTTAAGACTCCTTAATACTGTTTTAGGAGCTGCACCAACCATCAGTTGGCCTATGGATGCATTCAAAATAATGTTACCTCTGAAGTCCTAGATGGCCCAGGGCCTGGATACCTTTGAGATTGCTGTTGTAAGAGGTGCAAGATGAATTTTTAAGCCCTGCCAACTGCAGGGCTCTGAAACTGGACCCATTCATTGTGCACAACAAAGGGAAGAAGAGTTAGTTTGTAAGTTTACTACCACAATAATTCAGAAAATACTTTTTGCCCCAATATGTAGGTCTTCATAGGGTCTCAAGGAAAAAATGGACACGTTCTGTAGTCTTGAGTGCACTGAATTGTAGTAATGTTTGTCCAAGCCTGAAACAAGATTTTACAAATTGGTTAACAACATTGAAGCACTTTTTACTTGTATTAATAATGGCTTCTTATATGAAGTTTGTGAACACTTATAACAAACTTGAGGGAGAAGAGCAATATCCCTAATTAGTATTCCTGGGCAAACAAAGCCCTTTGAAAATAAGATGCAGAAATCAATCCCACCAAAATACATTTAAAATTCCAACATTAAAATGTACAGATCTCTTTTAGTATGTTTATCTGAAAACTGCATTTCAAATTGTCCAATTACTAGATGGGGTCTCAGCTACCCAATGGGAGAAGTAGATACCTACCTACCTCCATGCATCATCTTAGAAGTGTATTCTTCTAAAATCTTTCACTTCTCAACTTAAATAATGCAAATCTGGTGTCTAATTTTAACCACGTTCATAGCAGTACAAATAGTGTACAAGCCTCTTCAAGGAAATCTGGATGGACTTCCATCTTTGAAGATTAGAGAGACCTAAAGAAAGAAAAAGAATTGGGAATTCCTGCTGCCAGACTAGTTTAATATAGCAAGTTAAGATGATGCCCTAGAAAACAAGACTGAATTCTAGTCCCAGCTTAGGTGTGCAAGCTGGCAGGATGTTGGGCCAGTCGCTCCCTTGGCCCAACCCCTCTCACAGGGATGTTATTCTGGGGAAAATGGGAAGGAACATTAGGAATGTTTGTTGCATTCAATTAAAGTAATTATTTAAAAAATTAATAGACGCCATGTTTTCTCTCAAATAGAAAAGAAAAGAAAAAAGAAAAAAATCTTGCCTTATCCAGATTATCAGTTCAAATTTTATTAGTCCCAATGCCACATACAAGCAATATTGAATAAAGTTTTACATCCGTGTGCAACATGTGAGAGAAACATTAAATATAATGGAGCCTAAAATTAAAAACATGGTTAATAAAATGAACCCAAATAAAATCAGCTCCAATCCTAAGTAATGGTACAGCATACTGTTTCTACAGTATGGTAGCACAGAACTTGAAAGGCTATTTTCATATCCTTGTTTCTGAGTACTAGTATTAAAATAGAAATTGCACTTCCTATCTGGAATTTTTTTCAAGACAGGATATGTAAGGGTCTGTCTATAATCTATAGATACTTTATATAGGGAACAGTATAATAGTATATGGCCTAGAACTTCTATTGACCCATTGCCACATGGACATAACCAAAGAACCCCAGGAAGGACTGCTGAAGGCATAATATCCAACCTGGCTAAAAGTGAAGGACTTACAAAAAAATCAAACTTGATTTTAAATATGTAGCTGGAATGGATCTTTTTGGGTGCAAATGATAATGGGAGTGTGACACCTTACTTGTGCTTGTTTGAAAAATCTGTATCCCAGTTGTTGCTTAAGGACATTATCTAGCATTATCAAAACTTAACACGCAAAATTTCCACTGAAGCCCAGCAACTAAATTATATCTTGTCCTGATTCTAAACTGCCTGAAATCCAGAACCAAATCTGATTTATTTAACAGAACCTCTGATATAATAGCTCTGGGTTCAAAATATTTTTGCACGTTGCACACATCCTTACAAGCCAAGAATTATCCATTTGACTTACATCTTTCCAGGTAAGAGTTGGCATTTCAATCACGATCACTCATCTTGGAGGGCAGCTTCTGGCTCCCTGAAGAAAGAAGAAAAGCTTGTAATGAAAAAAGGCTTGTAATAAAGAGAGAACAATGGTTTTCCCTCCAGAGACTCCTCAGAAAGAACCATCTCAACAGCAAAAGTCTGCCGGTAATTCCAGCATATATAAGGTTTTATATCATCACGGCGAGCCTTCCTTCCATATTATCCAACTTCAGAGGCTTTTAAATTTACCTTTGCATGTTCCTCCCGCAACTCTACACACTGGTCCTTTCCACTGTTTTTTGAAGTCAGTTCCCACATGGCAGCGGAAGAAAGCCTGCAATACAATGCAAGATAAGGTAGGTGAGAAAGCACCTTAAAAAAGGTTTCTGTAATGGCGGTGGGAGGTTGGGCCTAGTATCTCCTCTTCCTCCCTGTTTTTTTGTCCGGACTAAACCTAGGCCCGTCTCGGGAGGAAAAAATAGTGGCAGGGGAGGGGAGGGCAACTTGCGGTCAGCCACGAGGAGTCTTTCGTCAGTTCTCGCGTCTGACGGCACTTCCTATCTCGGCTTCATCATCCCGCGAAGGGAAAAAATTAAAGGCTCACGCGAGGCGCCATAGGCCGCCGGGTAACAAAAAGGATAACGTTGCCTCGCAAAAGGCCCAGACAAGGACAGACCCGTCACCCCCGCAATTCACACACTTTTTCTGGGGCACCATAAAAATCTCTCACCTCCTTCCAACGTCAACCGCGACAGCCAGGAAAACTGCGGAAAAGGGCGAGACGCTTCCACGCGGTCTCTTTTAAGGCGGGGAACAAACCATTCGGACGGCGGGTGGGGGGACCGGGAAAAAAGTGGCTGCTGATTGGTTTGAATATACCATTTCGCGGCGGCAAAAACGGGGGGGCGGAGAACGGAAATGGTTTGAAAGCGGGAATATCTTGGGAGATTTCCGGGTCAATAACACGGGCGGGGGGGGGGAGGGGGAAGAGAGGGAGCGAGACTTGCCTGCAAAGGCGCACAGCAGCGGTTTAAAAAAGGGTTGATCTTCTGAGATGTGCTTTTCACCGCGGAACATTGCTGAACCCAAGAGGAGCGCAGTCGCTAATAGCTGCAACATAATTGTTGGGGGAGAGTGGGATTAGTGGTGTCAAATTAAGAATCGGGATTTCCCATATTAAAAAAAAAACCAAGCGTAACTAAGAGAAGCGAGCGTCAGATTGTCTGCATCTGCACATAAGATGCTGTTATAATCACGGATCAAACATGCTTGGGTGCAGCCAAATAGAATAGGCCGGTTCACTGCGAAGTGTCTTCTTGTTCGCCCAAGATGGATCTGATTGCTGGTGATAACTTGACATCTTACTAAAAGGCAGGTCCCAATTTTTTGCCACCCCTCCGTTGCATGAACTGATTTCAATGAAAGGAGCCTAAATTAAGTTTTATTAATTAGACAGAAAGTGATGTAGCTGTAAATTAGCATACGTTACATGATGATCAGATGGTTCAGTGTTCATTTTAGACCATAAATATGGTAAATATAAAGATACTTACTAAGCCCTTGCAAGGTTGGGACAGTCAGGTCCATCTTTGGTGACCTCATAAGCCCTGTCCAAAGTGCCATTCTCGAGCACCCAAAAGAAGACAGAGCCAACCAGAAAAGAAGTAACCTGGGGATGAGAAAAAAAGGTTAAGGAAGCCCTGACAGAACATAGGCTGCCTCTGCAAATTCAACCTTGTCTTTTTATAATGTTTCATGAGGGTTGATGCTTCTGGACTATGTCGCCATCCATGTCTAACAGGAGAGCCCTTGGTGACAGGGCTGATAATTTATCTGCCCATGGGAGCAATAATAGCCCTGGGTAGCTTCGCTGAATAGGCCAGTGTGATGCATTCCTTAACCCATCTGCTGAAGGAGAAAGTTATTACTCATCTTCCTAAAACATTTGCCCAAGAGGAAATGAGCAGACGCACCCTTGGATGTGCTTGATGTAAGTTCTGAAGGTCCTATACATATCTAGCTTATGCCAACTTCTGAGCACTTCAAAGGATTTGGCAGAAATTTGGAACCAAAATTAATATTGGAATTCACCATAGGCATAGAACAAGGTTTATATGGAATCTTGTGCCCTACAAAAATTGGAGTCCACCTGAGGTCTGAGGGATGGTTTTGAACTTACCATGTTTCTCCAACAATACGACCTCCCCCAATAGGAAGACCCAGCATGTTTTCTAAGCATAAAATGAAATTAAGCCCCTCCCCCCAAATTTAGGCCTATTTTAAAACATGCAAAATGGGGGGAAGGGCGGGGGGACTTGCCGTTAGGAGCGCCCCGCGGGCAGCAATTCCTCGCCACCAGCTGCTCCTAATGGGCGATCATGGAAGAGCGTGGAGAGCTCCCTACTCCTGCCAAGCACCTTTGCGGCAGACCCAAGACCTTCAGCGCCCACCGCTGTTGATTTCCCTTCTGCCCATGCTGCCGCCGCGTTTGGAGCTGCCACTTCCACGTTTGGAGCACCACTGCTGTTTGGAGTACCGCTGCCGTTTGGAGCTGCCGCTTCTGCATTTGGAGCTGCCGCTTCCACGTTTGGAGCGGTGCCGCTGTTTGGAGCACTGCTACTGTTTGGAGCTGCCGCTTCTGCATTTGGAGCTGCCTCTGCGTTTGGAGCTTCCGCATTTGGAGCTGCCGCCGCGTTTGGAGCTGCCGCTTCCGCGTTTGGAACCCCACCACTGTTTGGAGCACTGCCGCTGTTTGGAGTTGCCATGTCCGCATTTGGAGCTGCCACCGCGTTTGGAGCTGCCGCTTCTGCGTTTGGAGCACTGCCGCTGTTTGGAGCACCACCGCCATTTGGAGCGCCGCCACCGCTCCAAACGCGGAAGTGGCAGCTCCACACACGATGGCGGTGCTCCAAATGGCGGCACTCCAAACATGGAAGCGGCAGCTCCAAATGTGGCAGCAGAATGGGCAGAAGGGAAAGCAACAGCGGCGGGTGCCAAACATCTTGGGTCTGCAGCAAAGGTGTTTGGTGGGAGTAGGGAGCTCTCTGCGCTTCGCCATGATCACCCGTTAGGAGCGGCTGGTGGTGAGGCTGCCCACGGGGCGCTCTACATGAGGATGCAAGGGCGGGAATTAAGTCACCCCCGAAAAGACGGCCTAGCCGTTTTTTCAGGGCTCAAAAAATATAAGACCTGGCCTTATTTTATGAGAAACATGGTAATATCAACTTGGTAAAAAAGATAAATCTTCCCTCACAGGAGTTTCCTAACCCTCTTGGCTGGACTTAGAGTAACTAGGAAACCCATTTTCTCACCAAGAATATTCATTGGAAACTGTTTAATGGACACAAGAGAACATGGTCACTTCCTTGAAAACTGATGTAAAATCCAATGATAATTAGGAGATGAAATTTGTGCCTTTAAGAAACCAACATGCATAGTGGGTGCCCTGAAAGAGCCTCTCCCAATTGTCCAGAAAAATGGACTATAAGTCAGTATTCCACAGGATATTTTACAGCTGCTCCTTGCCTATCCAGCTTGTAGAAATCTCAGAAATTCCAGTTCCTTGTGTTATTTCTATAAGATTCCTTTTCTACACCACCATTCAAATATTGTTCAGGTTTTCTGATATAGTTCCCTTGTAGTGGGATGTCTAGTTACCAAAACAATATCTAGTTTGATATGCCAGCATAGAACATATGCCTCTGTTTGTCCTCCAGATACAGCTCATAACCACTTTTGGATCCCTTAGGCTTAGCAGATCTGTTTTGTGTTCACACATGACTCGAAGGCACTTGCCTCATCTCCACTAAGATTGAATACCATGACCTCTGGGTCAGATTACTTTAACTCTTGAGCATCTTTATCTTGCTTGCTGCCTGGACAGGTTTGGTGTTGGCAGGAAGATGTAGAGAAGGCCACTTTGCATAAGGTAAACAACACATTTCCCTCTATCCTTTAGTCATGGAACTTGGAGGGGACAAAACAGCTCCTCTGCTGTCAAAAACAGATTAACCGAGATCTCTAGAGTTCATTGGATGTAGTATCCATTTGCAGAGATAAAGGAAAAAGTCCATGAAAGAAAGAGGCCAGATCCATTAGCAAAGTGCTAAAAGGAAATGTTCATCAGGTCCCAAGTGAATTCAATTTATGTATTCATTTTATTCTATTTGTAACTCCATCTCATTGTTCTGATGACTCTGGGTAGCTTGCAAAAGATAAATATTTATTTATTTATTTATTTATTTGATTTGCCAATTGTTTACAAGATAATAAGTATAAGTGTATACATAGTTGTGAATACATGAAATGGGTACATATAAGAAAAATAAAAGAAGAATAAGAGAAACAATAGGACAGGGACGGTAGGCACGTTGGTGCGCTTATGCACGCCCCCTACAGACCTCTTAGGAAAGGGGTGAGGTCAATAGTAGACAGTCTAAGGTTAAAGTTTTTGGGGTTTGGGGAAGAAACTACAGAGTCGGGTAGAGTATTCAGACATTGACCACTCTATTGCTGAAGTCGTATTTCCTGCAATCAAGTTTGCTGCGGTTAACTTTGAGTTTGTATCTATTGTATGCTCTTGTGTTGTTATGGTTGAAGCTGAAGTATTCATTGACAGGTAGGACATTGCAATGTATGATTTTATATACCATGCTTAAATCAGACCGAAGACGGAACAATCAAAAATTTAAAAATTACTTTAGAGCTAAGTCCAAGGAGAAGAATGAAGGGCATATTCATCATAGAGTCCATGGAATCGGCACCAGCACAGCTGTTTTCCAATTCCACTAAATGTTCTCAAATCAGCCCCATCTTCACTGTTGTCCCTGAATGTTGAGTTCTGGTACATAGGCAATACAGTACTGTGCTGTGAGCTGATCAGAGCTCCCTCTAGTGGTGCTATAATAGACTTGCTAAACTCATCAGCCAATACCGATTTCTGAGCTATTGCAGGTTCTACTAGAAATCTCTAAATCTCTAATATGCTATCCAGAGTTTTATTCTGCAAAACACAACTTACATTAAAGGGCATTGCACCATCCAATTTTACTGAAAAACAGAAGGTGGAAAGAATAATACCAAAACAAAGCACTGTGACTTATACCCAAAAGTAAAAGAAACATAAAGGAAGCACAATGTGCCTGATGCACATCAATTTATGTATGCAGGTATTTATTTGTATCCCTTTATTATTTTCACAAGTAACTCAAGATGGTGAACATACACACCTTCCTCCTCCTATTTTCCCAACGACAATCCTGAGAGGTGAATTGGGCTGAGAGAAAAAGACAGTCTTTCATGGCTAAGCTGGCACTAGAACTCACGGTCTCCTGGTTTCTAGCCTGGTGTTTAAAGCAGGCTACACGATCTCTTTTCCAGTCAAGGGAAAGAAAGAAAACTCCACACCCTCCAGATAGCCATTTTCTTGCTAGGAGCTGAGGGGAGGAGAGAAGGATTCTCCCGGGGATCCTTCAGCCAGGTCACACCGTCTGTCAGCCGTTCTGCCTCCCTGGGCCAAGGGCGAGGGATGGTCCCTCGGAAGAAGGGCAGCGCTGCCCTTTGCCTTGCCCTATCATTGGCCGCTCTCTCCCTTTCCCGCCTTCCCTGGTAGAGCGTGGATAGAGACCCAAAGCAGGCGCCAGGAAGAGCCTGCAGTTGCTGCTGCTACCCCGCCTCCTCCGTTCAGGCCCGGAGGAGCGAAGGGACTGACCGCGTTGGACTCTGCCTCGCCACCAACCAGGGACGGAGGGAGACTCGAGTTGCTGTGACCAGGCTACGAGCGGTAAGAGTTTCCGCCTTGCGGGCGGCGGCAGCTGAGGAATCGCGCGTGCGTGCACACAAACAGAAAGGGAAAACACCCCGACTTGGTTTGCGGGCATCGAAAAGTTCCCAGCTCTGGAGGAGACCCCCTAATGAATCAGCCGAGGAGTTGATGGGCAAGATGCTACACCGCTCGCTGCCACACCGGTCGGAGTGTCATTCTCGGCCCTGAGACTCTCTTGGTAGCTAAACGGAACTTTGCAAAACGCTGGGCTGGCTCACTAATTAGGATAGGATAGGATAGGATAGGATTCTTTATTGGCCAAGTGTGATTGGACACACAAGGAATTTGTCTTGGTGCAAATGCTCTCAGTGTACATAAAAGAAAAGATACATTCGTCAAGAGTCGAGAATCAGAAGGCACAACACTTAATGATAGTCACAGGGTAGAATAAGCAATCAAATCATACTAGGAAACAGTCAGTATAAATCATAAGGATACAAGCGACAAAGTTACAGTCATACAGTCACAAGTGGGAGGGGATGGGTGATAGGGAGTGATGAAAAGATTCACAGTAATAGTAGTGCAGACTTTGTAAATAGTTGGACAGTGTTGAGGGAATTATTTGTTTAGCAGAGTGATGGCGTTTGGGGAAAAACTGTCCTTGTGTCTAGTTGTTCTGGTGTGCAATGCTCTATAGCGTCGTTTTGAGGGAAGGAGTTGAAATAGTTTATGTCTGGGATGTGAGGGGTCTAAATATTTTCACAGCCCTCTTTTTGAATTACTGGGGTTTCCTCCATGCTGTTCCTTTGTCAGGGCGGCCATCCTTGTTTTGATAACAAGTTTGGAAGGACGAGCCCCAGGGAACCTCTGGGAGTTGAGTTGCAACTGAAATGAACAATTCTACCAAAACTGTCAGCGGCTCTGATCAGCACAGAGCGGGCCCAGGGTCTCTCATGTCTTAATTTGAAGGCTGGCTTGACAAGCATCCTAATCCTGGCTTAATAAATGCAATTGCTGTATTCGCCGCCCATGGTCTGTCCAAAGCAGTGAGCTACATGTTGTGTGATACATGTGGCCTGAATCACTTAAAACATCGATCGGAACCGCACTAACCGTTTTAACCAAGTTGTGAGAACCCACTCAAGATTTTCGAGCAGGACAGAGTTTCCAGAATCAACCTGGTGTGAGACTGGGGACATGTTCAAAGGAGGTAATTCATACAGCACATAGACTAGAGGTCTCCAAACCTGGCAACTTTAAGACTTGTGGACTTCAACTCCCAGAATTCTGGGAGTTGAAGTCCACAAGTCTTAAAGTGTTCAAGTTTGGGGGGGCTGACATAGACAACTGAATTTAATTTGATGGATAGCCTTCCCAAGCTATATTATCCAGAATGCCTTGTAGGTGCTGGCTGGCCGGCTCTCAAAATCTGTAGCTCTCAGAACCAGATTATGGGGGAACACTCTGGTTTCACCCTCTCTCCTCTCTGCATCTGTTCTTAAAGAGAAGCACTTTTGCTTTGAGGCTATTGTTGCCAAAGGCAATCCTTTGCCTTTGGCAACAATATACACAGGCAATCCTTGATTTACAACAGTTCATTTAGTGACAGTTCAAAATTAGGAAAAAAAAAACCATTTTTCACATTTACATTGCAGCGTCCCTGTAGTCACGTGATCAAAATTCAGATGCTTGGCAACTTGGTTTATATTTATGATAGGTTGCAGTGGTTGCAGTGTCCTGGGGTCATAGGACCACATTTTGCAACCTTCTGACAAGCAAAGTCAATGGGAAACCAGATTCACTTAACAACTGGGTTACTAAATGAACAACTGCAGTGATTCACTTAACAACTGTGGCAAGAAAGGTCATCAAATGGAGCAAAACTCACTTAACAAATGTTTCCCTTAGCAACCAAAATGTTGGGCTCTATTGTGATGGTAGTTGAGGACTACCTGTACTTAGCCCAGCCAGCCCATTTATCCCTTTGATTAAAAAGCAATTAGTCCTGAGCTTGCAAGAGCTGTTCCAGGCAAACAACTTGATAAGCTAATATTATGGAAACTTTCATTGTCAAGCATTCTTAAAGAACAAACTATCAATGTCAGTCATTTGTCATCACAGATGGGCTTACATATTATGCTTAAATTAGCTACTGAAGTAATTCATTTTCTAAGTTGACAGTGTTGAAACATAAATTAACTAGATAGATGGAGTTTGCACAACAGACTGAGTCACCCTAAAAGCAATCCAAATTAACAGTAATCAACCTTATCTTATTGTGTGATTGCGACTGTAAGGTCTTTAACTGAGCCAATCATTAATGTTGTACAAACTCAGCCAGAGATTATTGCATTGTTCATTTCAATGATATTTGGGGAAATAAGCAAAAGGGTGAATTCTTGTAAAGCTTACAAGGAAAAGGAGCTCAGTATGCACAATATTAGTACTGGCATGGAACCTGAGCTTTGCTTCAGGTGGGAGAGAGAGGTTAGGTTAAGGAAAGCAGGAGAATGCCATGCTACTTCAGTGGAATGAAGATCTTGAGTCTTGGCCTAGGCCAGTGTTTCTCTGCCTTGGCAATAGCAATAACAATAGCACTGAGACTTATATACTTGCTTTACAGTCCTCTCTAAGCGGTTTACAGGGTCAGCATATTGCCCCCAACAATCTGGGTCCTTATTTTACTGACCTTGGAAGGATGGAAGGCTGAGTCAACCTTGAGCCTGGTGAAGTTTGAACTATAGGCAGCCGGCAGTCAGCAGAAGTAGCCTGCAGTACTGCACTCGAACCACTGTGCCACCGTGGCTCAGCTTGAAGACGTGTGGATTTCAACTCCCAGAATTCCCCAGCTAGCAAACCTGGAAAGACTCAAAAGCAGCTGTAAGGGCTCGTTTGATTTCTCCCTGCCTACAAGATCAATGCTTTGAATGGGGGAATTCTCGTGTTGCAATGGAAAATTGCCTCCAGGGGACAATTTGTTTATCTTTATCTCAATGTCTTGCTCTATGGTCTTTTCTATTGCAGTTTTATTGGGGAAAGGAAAAAAGTCAAAGGGGAGAGGAAAAGAATAAAGTCAAAGAGGAAAACAAGTAATCATGACTAAGCACATCCAGTTAATCCACAAGCTAACTATTTAATCATCAATATGGTTGGCTTGTCCCTTTCAGGAACAAGATACAAAGGGCAAAGGTCATGCTAGGTGGAGGGGATTGGAGGCAACTCTTGTTCCTACCTGTTAGAGGAGACACAGCTTAGCTCTATGGGCTTATGCAACAAATGTACATTCAGAGGTGAAGTCCTGATGCTTTTTTGATGTGCTTTTCATCGGCTTAGCAACAGCCACAGCAATGGAGCTATTGGAAAGGTGCTTTGCATCTTGCTTTTTTTGTGTGCCTTTCTGAAATTAAGTGCTGATACTCATTCCTGGGAACACTACAGCCTAGTGTTTCTAGCCCAAACTAATTTTGTTTGTTTTATAGAAAGTGTCAGGGAAATAACTTTAAGAGCTGACCAGCTGCCATGATGCTGCAATGCTGTAATACTGTAATGCTATAATGATGACGCCATGGTAGGAATGAGTCATCAGGGTTATTTGACCCGTTACCACTTTAAGAGGCCCCAGTCCAGAGAGAAGGCCAAAATGACTAGAGAAACCAGAGAGAAGAAAAACTCCGTGAGAGCTTCCACCAGAGTCAGAGGGGCTATGAATCGTGGTTTGTTTGTAGTTAGTGCTTGTAATGGAAACAAGCAACATGGCTTCCGTCAGCATAATGGGAGGAGGTTTCGTGGTATCTTAGCTAAATGAGACAAACTACCTTTCCTGGAGAGTAAAGATGGAGATGTACCTGCAAAAGGAGGAGTTGTGGTCAATAGTTACTGATCTACCAGCAGTCCTGATGGGGACCGGAGAAGAAATAAAACAGGAATAGCAACAGAGTTGGGCTTAGGGCTCCATGGTTTGAGATCTTGTCTCTTTCTGGGAATACGGGTAGTCCTCAACTTACGTTCACAATTGAGCCCAAAATGTCTGCTGTTAAGTGAGATTATTAAGTGAGTTTTGTCTCATTTTACAATCTTTCTTACCATGGTTGTTAAGTGAAGCACCACAACGGATAAGCTAGTAACCCGGTTGCTAAGTGAATCTGCTTTTCCCACTAAGTTTGCTTGTGAGAAGATTGCAAAAGGTGATCACATGACCTCGGGAAGCAACAACACTCATAAATATGAACCCAGTTGCCAAGCCTCTGAATTTTGATCACATGATTGTGGGGATGGCTGCAAAGGTTATAACTGTGAAAAATGGTCGTAAGTCCCATTATTCAGCGCCGTGGTGACTTTGAACAGTCACAAAAAGGAACTGCTGTAAGTCGAGGATTATCTGTATGACCTCTTTCTATCCTAGGCTCAGGTAGCTCATCTATTTCTCCCCTCCAGTTAATTCTTAACAAATTACTCTCCAAAGCAGGGGTCTCCAACCTTGGCAACTTGAAGACTTGTGGACTTCAATTCCCAGAATTCCTCAGCCAGCTTTGCTGGCTGAG